AAAGAGAGAAGCTAACACTGAAGCAATTGTTTAATACTCTAATCTGGGGCTTGAAAAGCTTCTTTGGGGGTGTTCCCCGTGATTTGCTGCAACCACGAGGTGTGAAAACCTCTTCAAGTGCTTTCCGAAGTGGGACTTGCCCAAATTAATCTATGCTTTGTTTTGGCTCTCTGGGTTGCTGTGATCTCGGTGCAGCTGGCTGGAGTAGATAAGTCTTTGCTATATTTAAGATTAAACCCTCCTAACCCCTCTCACCCCATGCAAGAGTTTATCACCGCGGAGCCGGAGCGAGTCCTGCTTGCCGGTACTCAGGTCTTTGCCCGGTGAGGTAGAAAGGGACCCAACCTCCTTTGGGAACCCCCGTTTCAGCGTTCCGGGGGAGAAGGTGCCTGGATGCGGCACGGCTTTGCACAAGCGGCTTCATTCCAGCGGTGGGGAGGGCTGTCTGCCTACTTTATTCCTTTTTCCTGGATGGCGGATTCGCTCCGGCCCGGCGAGGGCTTGGGTTTGGCTCGTTGCTGGTGCTGCCGTGGAGGAGGCTCTCGATCTCTTGGCTGCAGTGCTGTCGTGTGAAGGCTCTGCAATGCCCTCCCCTCTCCGAGACGGGACTCCAGCAGCTTGTGCCGCTTCAGTCCTCAAAGATCACCACCTGCCCCATTGCCTCCGCGCTTCTCAAAGCAGTGTGAAGTCCGTCCTTGCCAAAAACAAGCGCTCCGTGACGTCGCAGTTATGCGGTACACCAGCTGGGGACCTCGTCCCAATTAATTACTCTTTGTTGGACGCCAAGCAGCAATTTTCCTTCCCGGCGCTATCCGTGCGGAGCCTTCGCCCTCGCTCCTGCCGGCGCTGAAAGGGAAGAGGCAGTATTGAAAGGTGGAAAAGGCATCTGGCTTCAACGGGCTGAGTGTGATCCACACCGTCTCCACATCCTCCGGCGGGATGCTCTGATGATCAGCAGCACATGGTCGTGCGGGGAGGGGAAGGAGGTTGGAGCTGCCTTCCCACCTGGCGTGCATACATACGTGCTCTGTGTGGCATGTCCTTGTACTTCTACATGCAAAAATTCTTTGGTGTACAGTTCAACACAGACGGATTGTGTTATCTTGCCTGCGTTTCTTTTGCCACTTGCGTTCTTTGAGCTAATTCAGTGGGTTGGAGGAGCCGAGAGCGCGGAGGGAATTGATTTATTTAGGGGTTGCGCTCATTTGCAGCAGCCGCCTCCTTGACTCCTGCGTGACAAACGGCTGCTGCCGTCGGTTTTGCCGTCGGTTTTGGAAACGGGCGACCCTCGGCAGTGGGAGGGAAGGAAGGGGACTTGTGGGCGTCTGTGGGAATTAAATCTCAGACCTGATTTATTTAAACTCTGCTCAGGGGTGGGTTTTGCACCCCTCGGTGTAGGGGTGTTCATCCCACGGCTCTGCGCAGACCGGAGCAGTTTGTTCTTTGCCCCGATGGCTTCCCCGGAGCGGTGTGGGGACATGAGGTGCGAAAGCCCGTCTTGCGAAGCAGAGATTCCTTCGGATTGGTAGGGAATATCACGACGGATTTATCTCAACCCAAGGTGTTGGGTCTGAGCTGACCGCAGCAGAGAAGCACCAGGCGGGGGAGAGGAGCTGGTGGCAAATCCCCACTTCCTTCCTCAGTCGTCCCAGTGACCGATAAACCCTCGTGGAGAATTTTTCGCATACCTCGCAGCGCGGCCGTACCCGAGGGCTGCGTTTCTCACGTCAGTGGCCAGCTGCTGCCTCGCGCCCGGCCCTGCTCTCCGAGCTGGCGGCTTTTAATCACATTTTTTCACTTAAAAGTCACTGAGTCAGCAGTTTGCACAGCAGGGATGAATGCCGATGTCCTGGCACTACTGCCTGCATCCCCCTAACCCACCCTCTCCGTCCAGCTGCACCAGATGTGACCGGTACACCTTAAAATCGCCCAAAAGGAGGGGGTTGAATTTGGTAGGAGCTAACCCCGCTTAGCAGGAGTGGTTTATTTTCTGCAGCAGTGCGGGTTGCATGTTTAGGGGGGTTTCCTGCAGGCAGGGAGCGATGCTTATCTCTGCCTCAGGGACGGGAACAGACCCAAATCCCCGCCCGAGCTCTCATCGCCGGGTTGTCCATCCTCAGCGGCAGCCCGAGAGGTTTAAAGCCGCGAACGTTACCCTTATACGGAGGTGCCGAGGGCCGGCCCGCGCGCCCGGAGTTTTGAAATCCCACGGCAAACCGGGGATTGCCCCCCTTCTCGCTCATCCCACGTCTACCCCAGCCCCACGCCGGCCTCGCCTGTGCCGTGGGATGCTTGGCGTTCCTGCGAGCATCCCGGGGCTG